GCGGAAGTTCGAGTGACCGGGATAGACATCTCGGACAAGAAAGAGGAACTACGGCAAGCACTGGCCTCGGCGGCAGGATGTGGCTGCGCGGAGGTGCACGTCGGAGAGATCGGCGCCACCAGAGGCGGCCTCGTGTCGGCATGGATCAAGTGCCCGGTGGCGGGAGCCCGAAAACTAGCCAGGCAGGGAAAATAGCCCTGGGCTGGTCAACTGCGAGGATCATAGCCATCCCGAAGCTGCTCCTGCAGTGCTTCAGGTGCCTGGAGCTGGGTACGTACGAGCAACATGCGTGTCCAGCAAGGATCAAGGGCACCTGTGCTACAGGTGCGGCAGAAGCGGACATCGCGCCAGAGGCTGTCCCGTCTCCGCTTCCAAGTGCCCCCTGTGCGGTCGCACGGGGCGTCCGCCAATCACAGGATTGTATTGTCAGTTTTAGTTTACGGGTACTTTCCGCGGCGTCAACTTATCGCCACGCAGTACCCGGGCACCCCTAGGGCCATAGCGGTTGGGATACGACCAACCAACGCGCAAGGCTCCTTCGCTCGTTACAGCCCAGGGACTGTTACTCGTCTCAGGTCGAACGGGGCGCTTTTCAAGCCCTACAGTCTTTCCAGAACGGTTCCAGAGCAGGTGGGACGCTGCTCACCCGCCGAAGGCCATTCGGGGCGAGCCATTACCCCTTAAATCGGCCCTCTCAGCATCTTGGCCATCAACCACTGCCACCACCAGTCCAAACCCATAATTGATCGAGCAGATGGGTCGCTACTCCCTCCGGGCTTACACTCTACCGCCCGTGGTACCATCCTAAGTCATTGGTGGGACTATCGTGTAGATGTACCGCCACGTCACTGCCGGCCGGCGACCTGCAAACCGTACTCGACAGATCCAGATAGGACTCACGTAAGCGGGGGCCTCAAGATACAAAGTACCCGGGAACTTATTCGGACGGTCCTATCCTTGGCATCAGGATCGTGGGTGCGCTACTACCCAAGGCACGTAGAGAGAGCATAAACGAGCCTCTCGCTTACACTCCCGGCGTCCTTCAGTGCGGTATACATAGAGGATTCACTTAAGTGGGACGCTTATCCCGACGGTCCTCCCTGGCTGCGGGAACGTGGGTTTGGCAGCCCCCATAGACTTACATAAGCAAGTCCTCCCTGCGGAGCCCGTATCGGGACAATCGAAAACGCGGTAGATCATCGAACGTTAGCAGTAGCGCAAGATAACGACGATGAACTACGCCAAATCCTCAATTCCGATTCTCGCACGCTGCGGCTTGAGAAGATCCGATTTCCTGAAAAAGACACCGAAATATACCGCGACACGTCGACCGGAACCTTGCGGCCGTTCGTACGGAAACAACGTTACGACACAACGTGTTTCAGTCGTTACGCGGACTTTCCCATCCGGGAAAAGCTGGTGACGACGCGTTTTGTCTAGCCGTCTGTAAACAAAGATTGCCGTACGTGGACGCGGCAATGTATACCGTGCCAACGTAATAAAGTCACCAGGCATGTATCATCACCAGTTGG